GGGAAAGATCTCAGGCTCTCAAAATCCTTAGAGGAACAACTACAATATTCATTCTTTCTCTGTTCTCTGAACCAGTAATTATCAGATTCATACTGCAGGAAGCGTATTATTTTACTATTCTAAATTTGAAAAGTTAGATATTTGGCCACGATTTAGGTGAAAAAATTGTAAGAATGTAAAACTTTTTTCTTATGCCCAAAATGTAACTTATGCCCAAAATGCATTTTGGGGTTAGTCACTAGATTTTTAGTAAAAGTCTAATTAAGTCATATTGTAATCTATGTGGGAACCTATCCTCTCATCAAATAAAATAAAATAGCCTGGCAGTAGATTCTGAACATGGGGATTGAGTAGGTTTCATGAAAGAACAGCAACTGCTTGAAGTTGAAGTAATGAAGTTGAAACTTGATATTAATGTTTTTCCATGGAGAAATTCATCCTGCCTTTTGTGGTTACTTCATAAAGAACCAGCACATGACCCATCTTTACTGTCCTATTTTATATGTATATCTTGACAACTATTCATAGTGGTTAGAAAAGTGACTTGCCAAGACCTTTTATTGATTATCTAAATATAGTTGGGTTTAAGTTTAATACTTTATTTAATGACATACAACTGGCCTTCTGAAGTGCTGTTGTTCATATCTTGAGTTTTAGCCTTTGTGATATCATGTTATTAGATAGCCATGTGTGCACTGGCCATTAAAGGCATCTAAATAGATACAGTACTGCAGCATGTAAGGTGTACTAAATTTGCCCTCAAGTCGGCTTCATTATGGTCTTCTATGAATTTTTAAATTATGTTCCATATGTCAACCTCAGTAAACAAAATAACTTCCATACTTGTCATCACGAGGCAGAGTTGCAGTTGATAATTGTTGAGGATGGATCCTTCAACAGGTTCCTAATATTCCTTTCAAATTATTCCCATAGTCGATGTCTTATTGTATTTGAAAATAGTCTAAATTGCTTGGAGGAGGCTGCAATGAATTGCTTCAAACACAATTGGGAACTCTTGTTTCGGGTCTTTAATTGCATGCATTTATTTATGCCATTATATGAGAAGCTTGAATTTTCTTTCTTTGGATACTATATACATGACAAATCTGTATTATTTGGTGTTTGAAACGTATGCTTGGCTTTAAGTGTGCTAAACTGTTAACATTATGAAGGAAAGACAAGATAGCAGCATTTTGAAATGACCAAAACAAGGAAAGTTATATTTTTCACTTTACTTGGTGGTGCATTCCTCTTCTGGACCTAAATTTTATGATTAACTTAAACAAACACAAAAAATAAAGTGTTTACTAATTACTATATTCAAGCTTGTTCTTCATATATTATTAGCTAACTAGAACTGAAAGATCCTTGTTGCCATGCTAATTGTTCGTCAGCAAAGGGTTCTTTTAGGAAGGTTATGTGAGGGGTATTAGGTTGGTGAACACTAATATATCTCTCTTGTAAACCTTCTCAGACTGTAAAATAACGGAATGCAATGGAAAACACTTGTTCACTTGCCTTCTTGCTTTTTCAAATTTGATCGGTGTTCTTTACTTTTATCTTATCACGAGAAAATATGATGCATGTTTTGCTCTAGGCATGTGAATCAAATACTCTACAATTATTGTTTTTGGAGGGGAAGGACAAATATTACATTTTTAAATTAATAAACTTCTATAATGTTTATAAAAAAAAACAATAGATTAACACATTAAATATATGTTAATCTATCATTTTATTTCTTTTATTTTAAAACAAGACTTAACTCCCAAACGTACACTTAAACGACGTTTCTCATGACTTGCTATTTATCATTACATCGAGGAACCTGAAGGTCAACTTCTCTACCCACTGTCCATTTGCAGGCTTGTATTGATGGGTGTCTACTATTTAGATTCTGAAGATGAATGAAGTCGACAAACCTTTGATTTTTTAATACCCACTACTTGTGCAATATGGCAACCCATGTGTAAGGTGCTTCGTCTTTTTCTTTGTCTTGTTTTTTTGTCAATTCTTTTTTGAGGGTGTGGTTGAGTTCTATAGCATAAGATTTAGAACTTAAAAATCACAGCTCTAAGGAACAGAAATCTGTCACTAATTTGAATGAATATTGCCAACTCAGGTATACCAGTTGTTTGAATCCTATTTAGCATTTTTTCCATTAAATAGTTTGCCAACTGAATTTTATGGTAACTAATAATAATGGAATTGGAAGATAATATTTGGCAGGTGATTTGGATGTTCAAAGCTGGCACACAGTAGCAATATAAACATGCCTTAATGAACTATTTCCTAAGAATATAACAAATTGTTATAAAGTAGCAACACCTTGTGTAAATTTAGCATGAACCTAGAATAAAAAGTTGAGCTGTAACAATGATAATGTGATAAATATATTTTTCATCTTGTGCTGAAAACAGTATAATTTTTAAGGCAACATGTTACATGGGGCTAAAGCTGGTGTTTTTGGACCTGAGATATACTTGCTACGTCTGAGCCCAAAACATTGGTGGGTTGAGTTAGCTGTTATACATGGGCCTCATACTCATTATTGTCAGCTTTTTGATGCTCGATTACCAGAACGTGATAAATATGGAAGCCCATATATATATATATATATTCCATTTTGATTTGCTTTAGGTTTTAGTTTGTTTAGAAAGGGAAAATACATAATAGACTGAAAGAGTAAAGCAGTTTTACATTACACTCTCATCTAATCATAAATTATTATGTATGATAAGTTAATCAACTGTAATTTTACATTGTCGGTACATAAATATTAAATTTGTTTAGAAAATCATATTGTTGGTCCATAGTCATAATAATAATAATTAAAAAAAACCGGGTCTGACTCAATTATATACAATCCACCAAAAACACAAAAAAAAAAAGACTTGCAAATAAGCTGGATAATAAATTGTTAGAAGGTTCATCATTTAAATTCTCGACCTTAAAGAAATGATCTGAAATTCATTTTTGAGAAAGCTTAATCACATATAAATTTTTAAGATCCATGGAAATCAAACAAAAGTATAAAGGGAGTACTTATGTGTCCTGTGTCAATCAATCTCTTGATTTGCTACATCTTTTGATATCAAGTGTCTTTCATAGTATTAAATATGGGAAGATTCTCCAAGGGCAAAGATACAAATGGTATTAATTGAGAGATATATTTTGATCTGGAAGGAAAAGATAGATAGGGGGTGTGGCTGAGTGACCCTTGAAAATGACTGAAGGCAATAAGCATCTTGGCAGACCCGACATGCTGTTAGAGGCTTCAAAACAGTGTGCCTTTCTTTCCACAACTTTTTTCCTTTATCCTCTCAACTTTCTCTCGTAACATTCATGATTGGCTCCATTTCAACGGATTCATCAATTCCCCGTTTTCCCCACTCCACCATTTCCTTCCCTACCTCCAAGTAAGATATGCAAAAAAAAAAATCCAAATTAATCCGATTTGTATTGAAAAAACTGATTCATTTTGAAAAACATCTAAACCGATCCACTTTATAAAACTGGTTTAGTTATCCGATCCATTTTTGTGAAGTAGATCAGTTCGGTTCGGTTTAGTTTAAAAAAAAAACCGATCCATATGAATAAAAAATGGATAATTACACTGTACCGAACCGATCCATTTTCAAAAAAATTGATCTATATTTAAAAAAAATCAAATCAATTCATTTTATAAAAAATAGTTTGATTAACCGATCTATTTTTATAAAACGGTTCGGTTCAGTTCATATTGGTTTGAGTTTTTTAAAAAATCTATCCATGAACACCCTACCTCCAAGGAACTTTGTAGCCACTTAATGAGTTGACCCTACACATTTGGTCCGTGACGTTTAGCAAAATGTTGGGTCATTTTCGTGTCTGCCTGTTTTTCGATGTGGGCCCTTCGCCATCAAGCCCTAGTTTGGGCTACTCAAATTTGCCCATAGTCCTATTCAACCTTGCCTACCCATTTACTCTAGATAGCTAGGTTTAGGGCTTTAAGGTAAATTCACAAACTGGAGCCCATAATCAAAGCCTTTGTTTGGATTTGCAAAATTATAAATATCCTAAAGAAAATGTGGGATTGAGAGATTCCTAAGTTTAAGTGATGTTGAACCAAGGAAGAAAATTGTGTTGCTCCATGGTCCAGAAATATTAGAAGAAGCCAAGTGTGATCATTCTTTATCTAAAAAAATCACGTCATGGGTGGATTTGGTGTTTCCTGTTTGTCTTGCTTTACCAAGTTACTTCTTACACTCTATAAGCTAATTTTTAATTTATGGAGGGGTAAATTTTAATTTAAGAAAAAATTATTTTCATTGGCAGTTTTTACACAATGAGCAATCAATTGGCTTAATAGCAGAATAGGTGTACAATTTCCTACACATTTTTGCATAATGAATACTCAATTGGCGCAACGGGAGAGTAGGTGAATATTTTCAATGGCAATTTTACATGAATACTCAATTTTCACAATAACAGAGTAAGTGCACATTTTAATAGCCATCATTTTCACACACATTTTCATAAGGTACACATTAAAATAGGCAGTTTTTCACACAAGTTTTCAGGTGCACATTTTCATAGGCAATTTTGCATGCAATATGTCTTTTTATGGACTATTTTATTGGACTCCAACTTGTACCAATTACAAAATCGCACAAAATGCAAAATAACATACTTTTAACTTATGGAGGAGTTATTTTTAATTCTAGGACAAACTTATTTTCTTAGGCAGTTTTACATAATGAATACTCAATTGGCTTAATTGTACAGTACAAGCACATTTTCATGAGCAGATTTGCACGATTACTCAATTTTCGCAACAACAAAGTAGGTGCACATTTTAATAGGCTTTTCTTCAAGAACACATGTTTTCATATGGTGCACATTTTCATAAGCAGTTTTCACATATGTTTTCATAAGGGCTATTTCATTGTGCTCTAACTTTTACCAATTGTAAAATCACACAAAAATGCAAAATAATTATTTTTTAACTAGAAATGACAAAATGGACTATGATCTGCGGGCTAACTCGTTGGTTTGCCAAAAATTGGCACGACAGGCCCATCATTCTAACCCGCCAAATCTGCCAACCCGTCGGGCCAAATGGTGGGTTCGCCTGTCACAACTCACCAACTCGCATGAGGATGAAGATGATCAAGACGAAAAAGTATAGACAACTTCTTCTAAAGGAGCTTCTAATGTTCTTGAAATAGAAAGTGAAAGTTGATTAATTGTGTTTGGACTTGTTTTGTGGATTAGCAAAAAATTTAGATTATTAGTAATTTGTAAGTTTATAATTTGATTTTGATTTTGGTATAGGTAGACTAATTTCTATTTGATTTTGTTCTAAGTTTGTAATTTACTTTTGCTGAACATATATTATGTACAATATGTATGTATTATTAATTTTATATGGTTATATTTATTTATTTGTAGCAGTTTTTTTATTTGTTCTAAGTTTATGTATGTATAATATTTTTTTCCATTTTTTTGCAACTTTTTTTGTGGTATGAGGGCTGACCCACCGACCTGCCAGCCCATCCTTAGGCATGGCAGGCCAATGTTCCCAACCCGTTTTTCATTGACGGGTTGGCTTGACCTGACCCCTTTTTTTGCTGGCCAAAACAGATCGAACTGACCTGTTTTGCCACCTCTATTTTTAACTTTTGGAGGAGTTAACTTTAATTTAAGGAAAAACTTATTTTCATAGGTAATTTTGTACAATGAATACTCAATTAGCTCAACATATTTTCATAAGAGTTGTTTCATGAATCCAACTTGTACCAATTGCAAAATCACACAAAGTGCAAAATAACAAACTTTTATCTTATGGAAGAGCTAATTTTAATTTAAAAAGAAACTTATTTTCATAGACAATTTTTAGCCTTAACAATTTTGCACACATGTTTTCATTAGAGTTTTATTTTATTTTATTGTAGTCCAACTTGTATCAGTTACAAAATCACACAAAATACAAAATAACATTCAACTTATTCGAACCTTGAACATTTTCTCCGAGAGTAATGAGTTGCCACTAAACTACTGTTGATAACTTGTTATATAACCACAAATTATATATATATATATATATATATATATATATATATATATG